GTTCAAATATAAAATTTATTATATTTGTGTAGTTAATTATTTAGCTAGCTCAATGTGTGTCGCAATTACTCTATGAAAACATTAAAATATAGTAAAACATGGGTCTTTCAGTCAGTACGTAATAGTCACTGTAATTGTGATACTCGTACAAGAATTTAAGATTTTTACATAAACCAAACTAGCCCGATCATTCTATATAATTAATATTTAAATTACTGTTCATAGAGTAAATGTGGCACACATTGATCTAGATAAATATTTTAATAAAATGTATATTTACAGTGCAATCACTGTGATAGTAAATGCAAGCATGGCAAATATAGTTTCCGACTCCATGTTATAAATACTGTGCAAATATTTTACAAATCAAACACTTTTACAGTAGTTTTCCGTGCTATGAGTCCATAGTTGTCGATGTATTGCCTTTAAATACTATTTGTGAAAATAATTTAAAACTACCATTCAACTTTGCTTTAATAGGATTATTGATATTTTTAGCCAACCGGATATACAGTACTAAAGCAGAGTTAATTCTTACGAGGTAATTTAAGTATATAAGTTTCAATGTCATTTCAAAAAGTGTTTCCCAACGTACGTGCGTCATAAGGCGGGGTAGGGGTCACTCAATATTATGAACCGTAATTTTTATTACCTAGTTAAGAGGTGCATTTTTTTAATGTTTAATTGTGGTTAGTACTTTTGATAATAAAAACTCACGTTTTCGTGCACAAACAATTTATTTAGTATTATTCGCATTTAAAAGTATTTAAGCATAAAAATATATTAGTTACGTTATTATTGTATTTATATATATATACAATTATATAATTATTATTAATTATGAATTTATACATGAACAATTTACATTAAATAATTTTTATTACTATGAATATTATATAAATTATGTATATAGTTTAATATTTTATGTATTTAATATATTGTTTAATAATTTTTACAAATTGTTTATTATCACGAAATTAATAACTTACAATGTATGTTTTAAATGTACTAAAATACTATAGAACAATGGGTAATATATTTTATTGCCATCTCAATTAAGTAATAAAATTTATGGCCAAAACAAATTCACAAAAATGATATTTTATTACAAATTATAAATTTGTTTTTAATAATTCTATGACCAAAACATATTTATAATATATTATGGAAAAATACTTTTAAATTTTAAGTTTCTCAATATTAATTATTCTTATTTTACAATTTTTGTTAAATATATGACAACAGAAAAAAGATTTTAGTTTTACTTTTAAACATGTTTTACAAGTAACTCATAATATTGTATTATAACATTTCCAATTAAGTGAACTAAATAACAATTTATAATTTAATTGTTACTACAATTGTTTTAATGAAATTTCCAAAAATGATTTTTGTAAACCTTGATTATTTGTTTGCTCTATACCATATAAACTACATGTATATGGTTAGCGTGAGCTTACTTGTCATATATCTATCTCATCTCATATATAAATTTTATACTTTCAATGAAATAATTGTCGACTTAAGTGACAAAAACTTTGACTTCAAGACGCGATACAAACGGGAAGACCTGCCGCCCCATTACCCCAACGGCTGGTTCTCTGTACTGGAGTCCCGGGATTTGGGGGTCAATCAAATCAAACCCATCTCCGCATTTGGTGTGGATTTAGTGGTTTACAGGGAACTGGCGGGTAAAGTGCATGTCGTAGACGCCTATTGTCCGCATTTGGGCGCAAACCTAGGCATCGGTGGCCGAGTTGTAGGCGATTCAGTCCGCTGTCCCTTTCATGGCTGGACTTTCAATGGCGCCGGTGTTTGCACTAAAATACCCGGATTAGAGTGTATGTCACCACATGTTATGCTCAATAACCAATGTATGCAATAGTAGTTTGTTTTGTATAACAATAATTAGGTTCAAATCTACCGGAAGTGCGGATAAAAGTGTGGGAATGTGTCGAAGAGAATGGCTTTATATTTGTTTGGCATCACTCGGACCACCAGAAACCCGACTGGTTTCCCATACCTATACCAGACATACGCGACTCACGACTGGTCTACAGGGGAAGGGCTGAACATCATGTGAACTGCCATTTCCAGGAAATCCCTGAAAATGGTGCTGACGTTCAGCATCTGAATGAATTACATGAGGGCCCGGAGTTCTTGGGGACAGTTGTGAATCGGTCCATGTTTTACGACTTTGTCGTTAAGTATCTGCGCTACGACTGGACGGCCACTTGGGAGTCCTGTCCCGCACCCGACCCACACATGGCTCACTTGGACCTGCGATCCGTGTATTCGCTGTTAGGCTTCCCGTTAATGCCGATCACGTTGGATGTCCTACAGATAGGGCCGGCGATCGTGCACTTGAAGATCAACTGTAAACTGTTGGGTGATATCAACGGCTATATTATCCAAACGATTACACCGTTGGCACCGCTGAGGAATAGGATTGTCCACCACTTCTACACTGAGCCCACGTTTAAGGCTTTTATTTTCTCCAAGTTTATGATCTATGGCGAGGCCAGGATGGTTGGGCCCCACCATTTTTGTGTGTCCATTTGTTTACTATTTTAATTGTTTTTTGTTTTTCGACTCTCAGGTGGAACGGGATGTCGTGATCTGGAATCATAAGAAGTTCCTAAAACAGCCCTATTTTGCCAAACATGAGACACCATTAGTGAGGTTCAGGCGTTGGTTCACTCAGTTTTATACCGAAAAGTGTCCCAAAGTGGAGGACTGGTAGTACGCCATGAGTTCAACACATTGTCATATTTACATCGCAAGACTGTTTCATATTTGTATTGTTTTTACAAATCATTTTTAATGTAAATTATGCTCTTAATTAGCCAATAATCTATTTTCCTAAGCAATGGCATCTATACCCTTGGTTAGTTTTTTGCTCTTTCTTTTTATAGTTTAGCCAAGTTTACATTTACTCTACCTGGTAATTATTTACAATTTATAGTTTATTTCATTTCGATCTTTATTTTATTGCATATTTTTTAGTTGATATTTTTTATGAAAATTAATTAATGGTGATTACTTTTATAAACTAATGATCAGGTTAAACGCGAGTATTTTTATAATTATTTTTAATACAATAAATTAACAGAAATAATATACTAGTTAAATAAATATTATCTTATAAACTATATGATATTAAAAATAATGTTAACTTATATAATGAAAACTATTTCAAAATCCTGATAAGAATTTTATTTTCAGCAAAATTATATGTTTATTAATAGATTGAAATATTTTAATACAGTGGCAGACTAAAGTATTGCATCACGCGTGTTTTTGAGGCCAAATTAATCGGGAGACCAAAATAATTACTATAATTAGTCATAACATAAGGTATCGCCACAAGAAAATGTCCAGATCAGTTTTGGTCACTATATATTTACCCGTTCGGCTGCTGTGACCAAAAGTATAAAAACGTTTTTTGAAAAGAGAGACAAAAGTATTGCATCGCAACGGTTAAGCGTGTTTATCTGGCCAGGGTTAGGCGGTTCTAATAGAGAATACTCTTGATTTATTATCTAAATTTGTAAAAATACTTTGTCACGAAGCTATTTATTGAGTACTTTATACAATAATTGATGATAAAATATTGCCAAATATTTAAAATTTTATTAAAATATATTATTTGAATTTACATGTCCAAAAATGTAAAATCACAAGATTAAGACTAATCTGATGGTCGTGTGACGCAGTCCAAAAACCAATGCCCATCGTAGAGCCCTGGTAATAAAACTAAAAATCATCGTGATAGTTTAATCTTTTTTTGATTGAAGCTATCTAAAGTTGGAATCACTGTATGTGTGTTATTAATATAATTTCTGAATACAATAACATTATTATTTTTCTCAAATTTTAAACATTGACCGTGCAAACAAACTCAAAAAGCAATCATGGCAATAAATTATTCTATAATTTCCCCAATTTTTATAATTGATAAGTTCAAAATGTCCAAGAATACTTGAAAATACAGGATCTTAAATAAAGGATCTGGGAAAGGAACTGCATGGCACTTTTGAAATGATGTACGGGGTAACATTTCTGTATAATGAAATTAAACTGTTTTTAAATGGCTCTATTTTATTGAGTAAATATGATAAATACACTTTTAAATGTAATTTTATAAATGAATACATTTATTATATATTAATTAACAAAATAATATAATTAATACTTATTAAAACAATTACATGAACAGTATTTATTTATAAATACCATGTTAAAGTAGGGACATAATTAAAATATAATTACTACCGGACACATATAAATACTCATAAAACTCAGACGTATTCATTGGAAACAAATCATAGCAATAGAAACCAATAGTGTGACCGACGGATAGCCTCTCCATAAACCCCATAACAACCAACCGATCGCTTACTGACAGCTCCCGTACTCGCGATAAATACGACAAAATCAATGGATAGGGCTTATGAGCTGCCGAGGAGATCCAGGTGCTCATAATGCATGAAACAAGGGGTAGGCACAGGTAGATTAGCTGGACCATTGATAATAACCTTACGGATAATGTACTATGGGAGTGGTGCATCATATATACAAATAGCATTACACAACATGTGGCCATATAATACAGTATGAATGTTACGCAACGGAAAAAGTGATTGCAATCCTGAGTCTGTATTTCCCAATAGTTGTGTTCAATGATAGCCGCGTAATTATCGACAAACAGTAATGCAAACTGTCGTAAAAGATCGTATAGCAATTAGAGGTCTTTAAACACAAAATATATTATTCACCACTATTTGGTATTATACTTGGGATTGGTGCTCTGTGACAAAGCGATTTCAAATGTAACAAGCATGTTTGCATTAATAACTATTAGCATTATTAATTTTAGGTATGTAGGCCGGACTAAATATATTGTCAGAGTTAGGTATATGTGAAAGAATATTGAACAAATAATTAGCATGATCGTGTTTTGATAAAGCCCGTACCTTGTTACTACGCTAACATACCTGGCTAGCTTATTTTCTCGGCGTTTATTTAGCGGATATTTAAATAAATCATATTTAAACATGTAACCAAATCTATCCAGGTGAAATGTACAGTTATACTCTTGGTAATCTATGACAATAGCAATGCATAGTACGCCAAATAAACCGGTAATTACGGCGATATATATTAATAATTTTACCTGAATTTGTTTATAATCAAGTAAAATATCCAAGATAGTCTCGTCGGTACTCAATGATAAGCATAGATATCTGATTACAGTTAATAGCAATGATACCCGGGTGATCATCACAATGAATAAACGCCCAGTGCTTGGCATACGTCTAGAGGTGTAGTCATCACTATTGCCATAAATAGCCGAATATGTAATAGTCATGAATCCCTCCAAAACATGGATTTCATGACCAATAGATGTATTGAATTTGGATTTAGTTTTTATGATTTGCACACATTTTAGTATATTTTTTATCAACCAATTTGACCGAATAGCCCTGGTGAATGACATTGCTTTATATTGAGACTATTGTTTAAAATTTCAGTAATGGTTTATTTATAAAGAGCTTAAACTTGTAAAAATAATTTTTAAAAACATATATATTTTTAAAAATAACTTTTATGATAGCTTACTGAATTATACTTATATTCAGTATACATTGGTTTTTAAATATTGATTTACGTTAATTATCTAAAAAGTACTGAATTATTTCAGTTTATAAATTATATTTTATAAATTATAATTTTATAATTTCAGTTCAATCAAATTATTTTGATTTTATAGCAATTAGTTATTTGAAAATTACTTTTTAAATATGAAATTATTATTAAAATATTTCAATCTATTAATAAACATATAATTTTGCTGAAAATAAAATTCTTATCAGGATTTTGAAATAGTTTTCATTATATAAGTTAACATTATTTTTAATATCATATAGTTTATAAGATAATATTTATTTAACTAGTATATTATTTCTATTAATTTATTGTATTAAAAATAATTATAAAAATACTCGCGTTTAACCTGGTCATTAGTTAATAGAAGTAATCACCATTAATTAATTTTCATAAAAAATATCAACTAAAAAATATGCAATAAAAATAAAGATCAAAATGAAATAAACTATAAATTGTAAATAATTACCAATTACAGTAAATGTAAGCTTGGCTAAACTATAAAAAGAAATAGCAAAAAACTAACCAAGAGTATAGATGACATTGCTTAGGAAAATAGATTATTGGCTAATTAAGGGCATAATTTACATTAAAAAATGATTTGTAAAAACAATACAAATATGAAACAGTCTTGCGATGTAAATATGACAATGTGTTCAACTCATGGTGTGTACTACCAGTCCTCCACTTTGGGACACTTTTCGGTATAAAACTGACTGAACCAACGCCTGAACCTCACTAATGGTGTCTCATGTTTGGCAAAATAGGGCTGTTTTAGGAACTTCTTATGATTCCAGATCACGATATCCCGTTCCACCTGAGAGTCCAAAAACACAAAACAATTAAAATAGTAAACACAATGGACACACAAAAATGGTGGGGCCCTACCATCCTGGCCTCGCCATAGATCATAAACTTGGAGAAAATAAAAGCCTTAAACGTGGGCTCAGTGTAGAAGTGGTGGACAATCCTATTCCTGAGCGGTGCCAACGGTGTAATCGTTTGGATAATATAGCCGTTGATATCACCCAACAGTTTACTGTTGATCTTCAAGTGCACGATCGCCGGCCCTATCTGTAGGACATCCAACGTGATCGGCATTAACGGGAAGCCTAACAGCGAATACACGGATCGCAGGTCCAAGTGAGCCATGTGTGGGTCGGGTGCG